CGCCGGCATGGTGAGTGCGGGCCCGGGCCCCATCCCCCTCCCCCGGTGCGCTCCGGCCAGCGGGGCTTTGTCCCGGGCTCGGCCCCGGGCACCGACCGCCCCCTCCGCCTTCTCCGTGCCGGAAATTCCGGCGGGGCTGCGGAGAGGCGCGCAGGGGRCTGCGCGGGGACCCGCGCCCGCCTCCCTCCAACCCCGCCGTTCCCTCCCGGGTGGAATGGGAATGGGAAAGAGAAAGGGTTTGTGTCCGTGTCCTGCCCGGGCACGGCTGGAGTTGGGAGCAGATCGCGAAGGAGCCAGGCTGGCCGGACCGGTGTTTTGCCGCCTGGAGGGTGATCCCCTCCCTGCCGCGGGCAGGACACCTTCGGGCTCCCCCGGCGTTTCCCAAACCTCCCACAACCTGACCTACTTCCTCGGCCGCCTGTGCCGGGAGGAGCCGCTGCGGGGCTCGGCCGAGCTGCTCCCCAATGCCGGGGGCTGGATGTGCATCCACGCCCCCCCTCACCACCACGGGAACATCCGTGTCCCCCATCCCCGTGCGCGCCCGGTGGCGCCGCAGCCAGCCCGGATCCTTCCGGAGGGTCCGTCCCTGGTGCCCGTCGTGGGGTGCCGATGCCCGGAGCAGGTGTTGGGCTCGCAGAGGGAGGTGACAGCGCAGGCCGGGAGCTGTCAGACAGGTTTGTGCGTGGCAGCAATTAAAAGCGGGGTGTTTGTTTACCCGGCGCGTGGTGCTGAGAACCAGGGCAGCTTCCTGGGTGTAACCCGGCACCGGCGCCCTCGGCGAGGCTGGGAGCGGTGCTGGGGGCTCTGCCTCGCCCCGGCCACGCTCACCGTGTCCCCTGCACTGGTGTGCGGCCATCGTCCCCTCCCAAGCGCTGGGGAGCCACAGCCGAGGCGGAAAGCATCCTCTCATCCTTCCTCCCCCGGCCACCTGCGCAGGAAGCTGCATTGTCCCGTCAGCATCCTGCCCCTTCCCACCGCCCTCACGCCATGTCCGGCCACGGGGTCCGCGGCACGCACGCAGCAGCTGGGCTGTGGCCGCCTGATCCCTGCCYGCTTTTGGGGTGGGAATGTMTGGATGRATGGGGCCGTGTGGAGCTCGCCCTGCGAGGTGCGGGAGCCCGTGCCACCCATGCTGTGCGGGAAGTGTCCCCGTGGTGCCGGAGAGGTGCCTGTCCCGTGCGCGCCCTGGGGAGGCCARTCCGATGGGCATCCCCTGGGGGAATTTGGGGGTGTCTGCAGAGGGTTTCCGGACCGGGAGGTCCCGGGGGGAGAGGCTGGGTGCCGCCGGGCCGGGGCTGGCGCCAGGCCCGGGCAGGTGCTGCCGGCTCCCGAACTCGCCCGCCTGGCTGGGCGGCAGGTGCCTGTTCTGGTGGCGGCCCCGGCCCCGGCCGCGGGCGGGAGGTGGGGCTGGYTGTGGGAGGAGGCGCTGCACCACGGCGGGGGCAGCGGCGGGGAGCCCCCGCCCCGAGCGTGCTGTGCCCTGTCCCCCGGCAAGCTGCGGGAGACGGCGCGTCCATCCCAGAGCCGGGAGCCCGCGTGGGTCCGTGGGGCTGGCTCAGAAAGGGGGTGCTGGGGCTGTCCCSGCTGCCTGGCGTCGCTGACTCTGTCTCTCCCTCCGGCAGTGCTGGTTCTGGGCTTTTCTCTAATTCTCCATGGCAGCAGCACAGGGTCCTGTGACCTGTGAGCCCGACACCCGCGTCCTCGGCACCTACCTCTCCTCGGAGCCCGTCGGCATCGTTGGCAGCATGGGCAGCGTGGGCAGCCTGGTGGAGAAGCAGGATCTGTCCCCCCTGGAGCTGCGGGCCCCGCTGGGCGGCTCACGGGGGCTGCGGCAGCCCGACGGCTTGCTGCGGAAGGGGCCGAGCCAGCGGGAGCTCTTCGGGTACCTGCACGGCGCCAAGAAGGAGACGCGGGCGGAGCGGAAGCACCAAACGTCGGGCGCCTGCTACAAGCGGGACTACGAGAGTGACCGYGAGAACCGCTCCCCCGAGCGCTACTCCCGGGAGCATCACCGAGGGGCCGACTTCTCCAAGAGCTCCCTGCCAGAGCGGGGCCGCTTCGACAAGGTGAGGCTGGGGGGTCCTGAAATGCATCCTGCGGGAGGATRGGGATGGAGCAGAATGATCCGTGCCCCCTGGGTGGGATGTGGGGAGTTGAGGWTGTTCAGGGATGTGAAGCTGGGGGTGTGGGGGTTCTCCCTGGCTGCAGAGGCTCGTGCTTGACCTTGTTCTTGTTTTTCAGTGCCGTATCAGGCCCTCGGCCTTCAAGGCGGTGGCTGGCAAGGGGCTGGTCTCCATGCAGGGCCTGTCCTCGTCCAAGGGGCAGAAGTTGTCCAAGAGCAATGGGAGCCTGCACACGCTGCTGTCGCAGAGCAGCACGGCGGCCCCGCAGCAGGGCCCGCTCCGCACCCACCTGCTCCACGCCATCAGCCTGGACGAGGCCTCTGACTCCAGCCACAACTCCATCCAGAGCTTCCCATCCTACGGCTCCCGCCTCAAGCCGGCCCAGAGCCAGTTCAGCGCCTCCATGGGCCACATCAACCACATTGGGGGCTCCTTGGACAGGGTCTCCCGCAGCCCCAGGGACACCCTGGCCCCCGAGAAGATGCCCCTGTCCTGCAAAAGCATGGCCACCCTGAGCCGGCTGCAGAGCCCCGGTGAGCCCCCACCGCCCTACGAGTTCTCCTACTCGCTGGAGGATGCGGTGAAGCAGCTTGAGGACCGGCTGCAGGAGACGGGAGGGGAGCTGCGGCAGCTCAAGAGGAGCCTCAGCGAGACTGAAGACCCCTTCACACAGGTGAGCTGTGGGGCTGGGGCAGCGCTGGGTGCCCCACGCAGGGATGTGGGGGCGGAGGGAGCGGTGCAGGAGCTGCTGTGGTGGGTGATGGGCTTGGAATGCCCAAGTTCAGGAGGACCAAATATCGCGGCACCTCCTGGGCTCCCTCCATGGGGCTGACCAGTGTCCACCTGTGCTGGCAGGCATTTGAGGACAAGCAGCGGCTGTGGCTGGACGAGCTGGAGGACCTGAAGCAGATGTACATGGCCCGGCTGCAGCAGGTGATGCARCAGGCGCAGCGCGGGCAGCGGGCGCTGCAGCTGCAGCTCTACAAGGCACAGCAAGAGAAGAAGCGGCTGCAGGAGGAGCTGAGCCTGCAGCAGTGTCAGTGCGAGGAGCCCAAGCTCCGGCAGCCCCAGGGCGAGCATGGCAGCCCCAAGATGGAGGACACCAAGTGGGAGGTGAGAGCCCTTCCTTGTCCCATTGTTGCCGCCCTTCTGGCTGTGGAGCCAGGATGGGGGCAGCGGTTTCCTGCTCTGGTGTCACTCGTGGCCACAGGATGGGAGGGATGAGCTGGGTGTGGTGTTTATGGTCTCCCAGGACAGCCTGGGGTGCTGCTGCCTCTGGGGTCCCACTCCCCCAGCCCTTCCTCACTGCTCGCCCGTGCCCTGCAGGTGTGCCAGAAGGCAGCGGAGATCTCCCTGCTGAAGCAGCAGCTCCGGGACACCCAGGAGGAGATGGCTCAGAAGCTGGGGGAGATCTTCAGCCTGAAGACGCAGCTGCGGGAGGCCAAGGCRGAGGTCCAGGCCAGGGACTCGCAGCTGGCACAACTGGCAGATTCCTTCCAGAACCCCCCAGAGCCCAGCACCTCGCTGCCTCTGGGCGACGACCCCATGCCATCGTGCCAGGACTTCCCCGGCTGCGAAACTGATGATTCCAAGTGCCGGGGCCTCCAGAGCGACTCGGCGGAGCCCCTGGAGCGGCAGGTGGAGTGGCTGTGGGCAGAGCTGCTGCGGGAGCGGCGTCAGGGCCAGCTGCAGGCTGTGAACTTTGAGCTGGAGAGGAAAACCTGGCAGGAGGAGAAGGAGAAGGTGCTGCGGTACCAGCGGGAGCTCCAGGCCAGCTACATGGAGATGTACCACCGGAGCCAGGCGCTGGAGCGGGAGCTGCGGCAGCTGCGGGCCGAGCCCAGGGATATCGGCATCGATTCGCCCTGGATCGAGCGGGTGGAGTCCTCCAAGATCTGAGTGGGGGATGCCGGTGGGACCGTGAAGGGGGAAGGTCTCTTGCTGCTGCAACGGGACAATCTCAGGGTGTGCACAAGGACTGGCCCCGCTCGGCGCTGCCCTGGGTCCATGGACCGATTGCGACACGGGAGCTTTTCCTTCTTGCAGCACTTTGGGCCCTTCTGGGGGGTCTCTGGAGGGCGGGGGGTTCATCTGTGCCAGGGTGGGGGTCTTGCATGTGCCCCGTGCTCTGACTCCAGGAGCGCTTGCCCTGTGATTCTTCCTGCCGTGGGGGCAGAAACCAAGCGCCCTGTGAGACATTCCCTGTCCCTCCTGCTCTGCTGCTCCTGTTCCTACAACCCAGTAACTCACTGTCCTGTGAGGAGAAGCTCCAGCCCTGTCCCCCACCCYACTGCCTTGCTGTGGGAGTTGCAGTGGCTGCCTTGTCACCTGAAGCTGGTGGTGCTGCTGGGGAGGCAGAGGAGGAAACCCTGAGGAGTTCTGGAGCACCTCTGTTGGGGCCTCCCCAGTGTGGAGCTGCTCTGCAATGGGGGTGGTTGGTGCAACTTTCTTCCGGCTGAGATAGGGGAGTGCCTTGGGCAGAGATGGGAACTGGTGCTCTGYCACACTGGGAGGAGGAACTGGGGTGGAGGAGAGGACTGGGGCAGGTGCCTGAGCTGGGGGAGAGGCCGGGGTCCCCCCGTCCCAGGATGGGTGAGGGGGAGCTGGGGGAGCCCCAGGGTGATGGAAGGAAGGAGCGCTGCTCCGTGTGTGTACCAGCAGAGCCATGTGAAGGCCCCGTTCCTGCAATAAACCTGCATTTCTCTCTGCCGCCCTCTGCTCTGCTTCCCTGGGGTCGGGGGCTCCCGGTAAGGCGGTACGAACGGGTGGGGCATGCCCGTGAGTCACGGTGGGGCCAGGCAGGCTCCCGGGGCCGCCTCACCCTCACCCCCGCAGCGCTTTAACCCAGCCCCGAGCACCAGGACCACGTTATACAAATCCACAGACACCTTTATTCACCCCACAGCGCTCTCCACCCCCCATCAGTCCCCCATAAAAAGTCCCGTGGCCCCCGGGCAAGGGGGTGGGACCTGCCACAGCTCCGCAGGGCACAGCCCTGGTCTGTCTCTTCACAGCGGCAAGGGAAGGGCCGACACCTCCTCCAAGCACTCGTCGTAGTTCTCCTGGTACTCCTCGTGGGGTTTGATCATGATCACRCAGGTCGGGCGCTTGGAGCCGGCTGCAGCTCCCAGGTCCTGTGGGAACAGAGCGAGGCCATGGGGTGCAGGTCCCTTCCTGAGGGGAGAGGCTCAGGAGCAGCTCCCTGCATGTCCTGGTTTAATGCAGGGAAGCTCTCCCTTCCAGCCCATCACCCCCAAGCTCTCTGGACTCRTGCTGGGTTCAAGAACCTTTTTCACAGATTATCTCGTGCAAGCTGCAGGCTGGGCTGGCACAAGGGACTGGCTCATGTGCCCCAATCCCTCCCCAGAGCAGGTTTGCAGAGCTGTCTGCACTGCAGCAGAAGCTCCAAAGACACCGACTGCTCCTCCAAAGCTCCAGATCTACAAAAGAGCTGTCCCCAGATCAAAACAGCCTGGAAAAGATGTCCTGGCTCTGTCCCGCAGCTGCTGCAGGGACTCAATCACAGCAAAYAGTTCTGTGATCCCACAGTGAAACACTTCCACACCTCCCGTTTCTTCTGTGCCCTGGTCAGGGACAAGCACCGAGTTCTTGACCCGGGCACCGGATCTGCACCTCCCCAGGAAGGCTCCGGTCACACCTGGACTCCTCACCGGGTTCCCCCTCACCAGGGCYGGTTCCTCCCCAGCCCCAGCACTCACCGATTTGGAAGGGACATATGCGTAAGGGAGGCTCCTGTCCTCGCACATGATGGGGATGTGGCAGTAAACATCGACGGGCAGCGTGTCYCCGGCCAGCACCGTGATCCTGCAGGGAGAGCCGTGTCAGCGCCCGGGCCATGCGGGCGGGGCCGTGCGGGGCCGCGGGGCCAGGGCAGCACTTACCCCTTCTCGCCCTTGTTGATGAACTTCTGCACTTCCTTCACACCGCGGCGGATCTGTTTGTGCTTGGCGGCTGCAAGAAAATAAGAACGTGAGGAGCTCGTTGAGAGCCACAGCGTGGGAGACCGCACCGCGCCGCCGCCATGTCCCGGCGTGCCCCACCCCCGCCATGTCCCGGCGCCGCCAGACCTTTCCTGATGCACTTGTAGAGCTTTCGCGTCAGCTTGCGGGACGCCAGCGGCTGCGCGATGGGGTTCAGGAAGTCGAGCTGCTCCCGGTACGAGCGCTCCGGTGTCGCCTCAGCCTCGGCCGCGGGCTCCRGCTTCTCCCGCGCCATGGCCGCCCCGCGCCAATTCCGCTTCCGGGCCACGCGCGCGCCGGGGGGCGGGGCACACACCGCCGCGAGCCCTCCACCAGCCAATCGGCAATCGCTGCGGCATTGACGGACAGCCGCGATGGCCAATGGCAAGCGGCGCTTCTAC